AATCTGTCCAAGCATTTGAGTGTGTGCATAGGGTCAAATGGATCAAAGGACATAGTCTCTGCAATCTTTTCACCGATCTGAAAAAAAACCCACAAGACAGTTCTTTGTTTTCATACGTAGGAAGGATTTTCAGTTAGTCAGTGTCCTGCACATAAATCAGATTTCAACCCATCATTCAGTATTACTCTGTATCTCAAGGATGGCCCCTTTAAAAGAAATTTCCAAATCATGCAACACTACTGCAGCTAGAAGAATATTGAAAGCTAGTGGAATTTACAAACTTTATGAGATGAATCCCAGAATAGGCTGCATACAAACTGAAACAAACCATAACATCTGATGAACCTTAGCAGTGCTCACTTGAGCATGAATGCTAAGACAGCCTACAGAGAAAATGGCACTACCAAGTTGTAAGAGTGAGCAAGTTACATGTGCGGAGATGTGTAGGGATAGAGCCCATTGCCTCTACTACTGTTGTATGAGAAATGCACAGAAATGTCACAGCCGGAGACTTGGCATGGGTGTGTGCAGGAGTTCTTCAAATAGCTCCCATTAATACAGAGGAAGAGTATAGCTCAGTTGGAAAGGACCTGGTAAAGGCTTGCAGGAATCTTCTGAAAGTGCAAAGGCTGCGGTCCCTTTCTCAGTTACTATGAATTAATTACCCAGGGGTGGCTTAAAGTTACCAGGGGTTGTAGACAAGCTGGCCTTGGAAATGCCACTCCAGATGTCTTCTCACTGAACTTTGCTGTGTCTTTAGTAGCCCAGGTCAGCTGTTGAACAGGATTACATGCTACCTTGGCTGGCCATTCACTGCCATTATTCTTTCTCCGTCACACCGCTCTTAAGCATTTCATGCCTAATTTTAAAAAGTTTTTATTAGTCCAAAGTATTTCTTTAACTGAACTTTCAAAGTTTAGCATTACCTTAATTGAGAACTTGATCTAAACATGGAGCAAAATGTGTGCAAGTTATGAGCTGTTCTTTCCATTGTGAGAAGAGAAAAGGTTTTAGTATGGGTAGGAAACATTTTTTCCCAGAAGCCAGTGCAAAAAAAAAAAAAAACCCAACAACCCAAAACCCAACCCTAAAACTGGATTGGACAGAATTCCTAAAAAAATTATCAGAAAATGAGTCATGAAACTGAACTGAATGTGCTTGACTGCTCACTGTATGTCTTTGTCTGGTATCAAACACTCCCTTTCCCTCCCGTCCTCACTGGGCACCCCCCCCCTTTCTTTTAAGCTTGTGTGATTATTCCAGTTATGGTATTAGCAATATTCCTGTTATATTCCAATGTCAGCAAGATCAGAATCAGCCCTGGGAAACTATTCTTAATGTATAGTTTCAACAGCAGCGACGCTGTCAGATAACAGGGGCTGTCAGCAAGGAGCCTACCCTATACAGAGCACTTACAAAACTGAAGTTTAGGAGAGGAAGATCATTGCTTTTTTTAGTGTCTTCTGTTCAGCTGTTTAACTGCATCCTTTTATGTGCATTTTTGGATGTTTTGCTGGATGAAAGCCCAAGCTGCCAGAACTGTTGGTAGTAAGCATCAGCCATGCTACTGTCCTCATCCTGCTGCATGGTAACAAGCACTGGGCTGGGTTTAACATGCAGGCCAGTGTTTTGCTCATTTCATTATTTACAGACTTGCAGTCTTGGAGGATTCATGGTGGTCATGCTGTCCCCACTCTCTGCAAGATTTCTGTATTTTGAATTATAAGTCACTGGATCAGAACTTTTCCACTGAGTTAGGGGCCCCTTGCCAGCAGTATGTGGGACTGCACTTTTAGGTATGCATTTGGTTTTTGTCCTGTTTGTTCCTTGCATTAAAGGAGTAGTTAGGCCAGGAGAAATGGTAAGATCCCCTCACATTCCTTCCTTCTCACAATCTCTAGCTAGAAGTGATTTCCTTTTGCATGTAAGCGCTGCTGCCACAAAACATTTCATAATAGCCTGAGAGCTAGTAATCCAACACTGGAGAGATCCAAAATCCATTTTTGCCCGTCAGGTGTGCTAATGCATTTGGACTCACTTCTGGGGAAGAGTATTTTGGGAAGTACCCTGTTCTGCTGATGTGCAATAAGTGTATTTCAAGGGGTCCAAGGCAATCACTTCTTTTGGGATTCTGACTGGGCTTAAATGCAAGTAAGATGCCAAGTTGCTCAAACAAGGGCAGTTCTAGGCATGACCAAAATAAAACTGTAGGTATTGAGGGGAACTTATGTGAAAGGGAGGTTCCTTCTGAGTTTAGACATGTTCCTGGTTGGGTGGCAGCTGGGCAGGTTTACAATTTTGGATTTAAATGCCTGTCATCTCAATCCTGCAGTAGGTGTGTACATCTTATACTAGAGCTAGTCCCGGTAGGTCTCGATCAAGATAGCTTGTAGCTGTCTTGGCTAGAGAGGCAAATAGATTGAAAACTAATTCTGCCAGACCTCGAATAAATCCAGTCACTCTTTTCTGAACCCTTTTCAGTATCAAATTCCTTGACAAATACTGAGCTGGACCACAAATTCTCTTTTGTACCATTCTGCCAGTTCTAGCATATTATTAACTGTTCAGGTGTCTTACAAAAATACCAGACTGTGAGAACTAGTCTCATTAATGGGACTTAAATATGCACTCCTTGAAGGTTATGTAGGATGGAACTTTTTGTCACTGAGCTTCGCTGTTTTAAGTGTTTCACAGCCAACCCTAGTTTACAGTTCTAGCATTGTGATAGCTCTGATAGGGTAAAGTAAGAAGCTGGGTGAGGTAGGCACGTGGGGTGAGAAAGCAGCTCTTATTAAACTGATGCAGCTGCAAAAATAGACAAGCTTTCCTCAAAGTTAGAAATAAAAGTGTGAATCTCTACATTTTATTCCATTTAAGTATAAAGTAGAATCTGATTCAATGTCTTGCGAAGGGGTCCTTTCTCTCACTTGGAGTTGGAGGGTCAAGCCAGACAACAGATGAAACCAAACACCTAACACAGGTGACACCTGGCCTTGAGTTGTGAGAGAAGTGTGTAGAGAGAACCTGCCCCACAACTTACATGAAGCTCTAGTTGCTTCCATAGGCCTGCCCAATTTCTGCAGCAGATATAACTTTTTATGTAGCAGAGGAAAGGAGTGAAGCCAAGACAAGCCAAACGTTTTGCTTTAATCAGTGCAGAGAGTCTTCTCTGGAGGATGATTCAGAGCAGGAACCTACCTTAGCTCTGAATTGCCTATACAGAATACATTTTCATTTTGTTGCAATAAACTTAGGAAGTTTAGTGTCACCAGGCTAAAATTAGCCTTTATTAATTCTCCCCTCAGTTGTAAATCCCTGCATGAAGAAAGCACGTCAGTATTTAATGCATAACTGCTGGTTCAGTATACTCGCTGGAGGTCTTCAGCTCTTTTCATGAGCACAGTGTACTAACAGACAAGTAGAGTGTCTGGTGTTTGACCTTGTTCCATTTGCATTTGCAGTTTTATTTAAAAAAAAACACCAAAACACATGTATTTTTTAAAAGAGAGTTAACACAGTTTAATAGCAATAGTTCTATCTCTGCAGGTGGAGGAATGATCACACCCTGTAAAAATAATGGACTTGCCATTCTTTGGCTTCCATTAAATATGAGTGTGTGGTCTGAGGTCCCAGAGCTGCAGGGTTGTTCTGAACTCTTCACTCAGTGTATGCCTAAGTGAGCTTTTTGGATAGGTGAAAAATGGTTCGTCATTTACTAATAGGTCAAAGTTTATGTTAAGAATTTATTCCAATTTATATGGTGAACAAGTAGGGGAAAGATAAGACACATACAAATATGAAAGTTCTAGGGTTGGAATAGAAGGATTTTATGAAATAGCTCTCATAAGGAGGCAGGTTAAATTTCATTGTGATTTAAAAGAAAACAGGCCATAAGCACAAATCAAGGGTTAGTTCTGTTAGTTGTGATCCTCATGAAAAACAAGATGCTGAAATATTTTGTATGACAGAACTGAATCTCCAGCTCATGTTTATAAATTTAAGGTCTACAGTAACAAGAGGCAGGCTAGAATTGGAACATCTCACACTTTCTATGTATTTGTCCTCATAACTCTACTGTGATAATGGAAAGTCTACTCTTGTTAAGAGAAATAACATTTTCCCCATTCCATAGAGGGGAAGAAGATGCATTAAAGTAGATGCATCTGCATCAGGTGTAAATTCTCCTACATTTGTGGCAGACAATGAGACTAAGTTTCTGGATTCCCTTCTTGCTTAAATTCTCATTTGTAAGTTGCTGTTAAAGGATCAGCTGGGACAGTTTGTCCACATTTCAAAGGAAGACAAACGTAAGGGACCTACCCCTGTGTTGAAGATCACAGCTCAGTGCCAGTACCCGTTCAGTCCCTGTTGTCTAACAGTGCTGTCAGCTATTGACAGTATCAGCTGTGGCAGAGCTTCAGGATATCTGTCAGAACTGTCACAATTCATAAAATCCAGAGCATACTTGCCAGCCAGAGTTGCCCAGGGCAGATTCACACCTAAGTATGAAGAGTTTGTATATATTCATGCTTCCTTCCACTACTTTCATGGATGAAGCAAGTGTATTTGCAAAGCATCTAATATTTTACCCTAAGCCTAACAGTCCATTTGGTATTTTCTTATAGTAAAAGCACATCTGTTCTAGCAAAAAATACTGCTGTAAAAGAAACTTACAGCTTTAATTACTTTATTACAAGCTCATTTGAATCTTGTAACAGCTAGAAAAATGGTGAAAAGAACTAACTAATGACAAGCCTAAATCAAAATAAGAATGAACCAAACCATTCTACTTGGCTGTGGTAGCTACAGCCAGATTTCAGTAAGCTATTTAAAAATGCATATATCCAGGAGTGCATGACCTAAAATGATAGATTTTTCTCTAGGCAATGGCCTCATTCTCAAAGTTTGGATCCAGCCCTGAATTCCCTCAAAGCTTAGGCTTTTATAGAGCTCCTTTTAGACACAAGGACTAGTACCGATTGTTGTTTGGTTTTTTTTTTAGTGAATTCATCATTCCATTAAAAATATCTTTGTAAAAATCCTTGGATGTTGTAAAAGAAAGTAACTCTCAAAAGAATTCAAGCCTAGCCTGACCAATTTTTATTTTCAAAAGATATTTCCATTTTTAACATAAGAAAGGTATCTTGAAGAGCACATCTAAACAGTGAGCAGAAGAAAAAAAACTTCTTGCAGAGAGAAAAAACTTCAGAGAAGTTTCCATGGGCACTAATGATTAATATCCAGTTTTGAAAAGCCAAATGAATCCCTCTCTAAATGGCAGAAATGGTAAAAATATTTTCAATGTAAAAATATGTTCCCAGTGTACAAAGAATATACAGTATCAGCTAGCTTCTGTAGGCCAATAAGCAAGAAAATGGAAAATTCATCAGCTCATCTGTAAATAAAGCATGCACCCATAAAAAGAATTAAGCGCTTTTTTTTTTTTTTTTTTTTATGTAGCCAAAATTTCACACCAAGAGACCTGCTTCAGAGAAAGCAATCATTCTATATGGGCTTAATTACACACAGAGATACATCATTTTCTTCTATAAATAAGTTAAATGCAGTTGATAATAGTGGAACCATATGGATGTTAATCCATTTCTTTTCCCCATACCATATTTTGGAAGAACTGCATAGTATTCTATGCTGTTCAGCATTTTAAGAGCTTTTTAAAAATTTAAAAACCATGAAAAAATTAAGTTGAAAATAGAAAAAAGTTGATGCTTTATTGTTTTATTATATATCTCTTGTTCAATAAGAAATCTTTGGTATCATTTTAGAAAATAACATTCTAAATCATACAAACATTTTACAATTGCAACTTATCATCTGTATTTAAAGAAAACAGCAGCATAAGCCCACCAGAAGGCCAATGTAATTTTAATGTACCTCTGCGTACGTTCTGTTATTCTGGTTTACAAAGCCATATTAGGTGCAGAAGGAAGAAGGGCTTTTATATGGGTTAGGCTTTAAAGTAGCAAGTAAGCAACATGGAGAGTCAAGTCAATAGGTGAGGAGACTTAGACAAGGATATGAATTACACTTGTCTTCTGTAAGAGCTTGCTACCTAGGCAAAGTGCCAGCACAGCGTCTATTATTTTAAATATCACAATGTTCACACAGATAATACACAGAAATATGGAGGGTTGCATTTACTACATCCCATTTTTAATAAAAATCATTTCTTATAAACAGATATTTCCAACTCTTGCATAGTCTTGTATGCAAACACTTATAGTCTTTGTTTCTACACACAACCATGAATATACTAGAACTGCACGGCAAGACTTAAAAATCTGTGTAATTTAGAAACTGAAATTTTAGTTACCTGAAGTAATTTTTTGCAGTGTCTCACTCTTTCTGCCTAGTAAGTTGGTTAGAATTCAAATACTATAGAAATAATTCTTCAAAGAAAACTGATCAAGTGCCATTTACAAAGGTACAAAATATACAGCAAAGTTAACTTCTCATTAAATAAAATATACATATTAGCTGATGTTCCACATCATTAGCTAACACCTTATTTTAAGGGATAAACTTCCAGGGAGCTTTTCCTCCCCAATATAGGAGAATTACACAACAGTTCTTTTCTCTGTATGCTTATGCAATGAGACATTCATTTTAACTGCTGTTAATAAAGAACTGAGTTGATCATTCTGGATAGTGAGGGCCAAAAATGATCTCTTGTGAACTTGCAGTAAAGTCAGTGGGAAACCTTAGAGATTAGTTTTACCTAAGGTATCACAGCCTATATAAATATTTATAGTAATAACACCAATCATTGTCACTGTGGTGGTTGTTAAACCTCCATGATAATTCTCCTGTAATTGACGTACCATTAAAATAAAGTGTTGCCAACATACTCTGCATTCGCTGTTGTTAAAATAGTGAGCTATGAAAACTGCCTATTTACTCTTAAACTGATCTCCCTGAAAATAAATGAGATTTAGAAAAAATAGCATGTTCCCACTTAAACCAGCCATTGTAATTTAACAGTTTGGAATGAATGGTAAGTGCTTATATGTTAGATTAGCAAAGAGGTATAACACCAGCTCAATTACAATTACACCAGTGTTGTATCCCTGACGTTTACTCTTGGTCCAGACGTATATTAACCATGGCAAAGCATCGGCCTAGGCTCTGGAAGAACGGTACGACGAAAACATCTGTCAGGCTCTTCCATATAGTTTGCACTGAAGGCAAAACCATGAGACAGGTTTTCACAAAAGGCACCACAATCCTGTAAAAGAGAAAATGGAAGATTTGAAGATTGCTGCTGCTATAGCATGAGGAAATCAGGATAACCAAACTCAAGGGTGAGATCTTGTGGAAGGGAAAGTGATTTTATATAATAACTCTCAATCTAATCTCTAAACAAGTTCATTTTACATTCTCGCACCGATACTCCAACAATTTTGTTCATTCACAGCCTCACACTTGCACATGCAGAAGCACCATGGTGCACATGGTCCTCTGGCTGGGATCACCTGTGTGCAACGGAGGGGACAGGAGACGCCAGCTTTCTTTTCATCATGTCTCTGCTCTTTCTTAATTGGCTGTGCTGAGCTAAGTTTGGGACATACCTTTTATAGGGGTGAACTTTTGCCATTCTCTCCCTGCTGCTGGGAGGGCTGGTGCATGTGATATGCTGCAACCTTGATGCCACCCCACTGTGGCTGAGGAGCAGTCATCTGCTAAGGACTCATTTGTGCTGTGGGCATATCTGAGTGTGGGTTTTCAGGGCTTAACAGAAACACCACGTTCCCCAGTTTGATCAACTGGGAACAGCACTCTTTATGATCTGATCTTGTTCTGCTGTCTCTTTTGGTGTTTCTTTTGTCCCTCTCTCTCACACTCTCATGCACAGGCACATAAGTACAACGCCATTCCTGTCTTGTTCCTACCAATCTAATGGCGTGGTTACAAATTGCTACAATAAAATAGAAACAGTAAAGCAACATCCAGTTACACTGGGTAACTATAGTCCAGAGACATGCTGAACCTCAGAAAAATGGGATCTTGCTGATCCTGTAGTGCTTTTGATTTGTGGGTGAGAAATTACTGTAGAATGAGGTCAAAACTCCTGGTCAGGGGATAGGTCTTTTTATTCACTCAGGGTGCATACTTGAAAGTATTGTGCTTTCATCTCCTGAGCACTAGTAACTATCTGGGGATGCTCACCATATATCCTAATTCCAAAGCAATGTCATTAGTGGTGGCTTAAGCCAAGCATACTAACAACGGAGGTGAGCCAGAAGTGCACACATGGGCACCTCAACGAGGGCCAGGGGATAACATCATAACTGACTGCACTATTTTGAGTTATTCTCCTGTTTTAATCATTTACTGGCCAAAACCCCTGGTCATTTCACCAAGTTGGTTGTTCTTATTTGGGTGCAGACAAATTAAATGTAAAAATAATTTATGCAATACTGATGTGGTACTGGAGCAAGGTTTTAAAAATCTCTGCGCCATATATACCCCATTTATTTCCTAAATTAGGTAGAAGAAGCCATAGATTATCTTGATAAAGATAATAAACTCTGTTCTAGTTTGCTGTGACATTCAGAATTTAAGATCCCAGTCTTGCATTCATGTAATTCCATTGCAGAACTCTCATTGACTTTGCTGGGAATGAGGGGAAATATTTAATTTACAATTTCATAATAAATCCGAAAAATACTTCAGTATTGTGTAATTCCAACTAGTACTGCTCAGAATAACAAAGTAGAAAAAAACCCATACATTTAAAAAAAGTTTAAGTTTAGAAATGTAAAGAATCAAAATGAATTCTTTTCAGTGTTTGTCTAACCAGATTCTCAGCTTTTATCATACAATGCAAGCCATATACTAGTATGCCTATGCTGCAGTCTAAGCTAACCCAGATGGATTTGAACAAGAATAGTTTTTCTAAAACGTTCTCTTCTTTTGTCTCTGCTGAAACAGCTAGCAATATACACACCATATAGAACTGTGAGCGCTACTGGAATAATGTGCATCTAGTTTTAAACTGAACTCAGTAAACTATGTGTTTGATAACCACCTATAGTATCACTGCATATAGAATAGATAATTTCTAGAGAATAAAATTAGGGCTTCATGTGTTAGAATACAGTTGATAAACATCAGTAATGCAAAGGGAAAAAAACTTGGTATTTCTCCAAGCAACACAGGGAAAACACCAGAAATGGCTACTCAGCTTGTGTTGACTTCACCCCTTTTCCATTTCAGTTAGTTTACAAAGGCTATGTCACTGCTCCTTTGCTGCACTCTAAAATTATTTTGGTCTGCATTTTTTTAAAAATCTAACTGAATTGCAGAGAAGCAAAAAAGATGACATTTTTATTGGACCTTCTGTCGACAGGATCACACAAAATATAAACTAAACAGTAGTGAATCACCAGGATGTCATTAGGGAAGGCTGGAAAAGCAATAATCCTACTGCTTGCAACTGCTGTAGTAGTCATTCACACAACACCAGAACTCAACCTCTTTTGATAATGTTAAATATAGTAAATATCAACATGTTTTGGTAATGTTTGAACACTTGCTGTCCAATTTTATGGTAAATGCATGCAAAACCCAACGTAGGCTAACTCTGTAGGAGAATACGTTAGACATGCTAGCAACCAAAGCTAATTAATGTAAATAATTTTAAATTTTAAAATAAAAGTCAGTCTACTTAGACAACAATTACTCAAACACCTTTCTTCAGAGAAGAAAATCCTTTACACCTGAGAGAGCAGTAAAAGGTATTTTCTAACTTTTAAAAAATATGAGTGTGCCTACATGTATATAAGTACGCATCCTGTTCTGCATAGGATATGTTATCCTACTGTGTGGCATTTCCAAATCAACAGAGAGTGTGATATGCTGGTCACTCCACAGCAAATATAAATAACCATGCGCCATTGGAAGCTAGGTATTATTTTTTTGGTGACCTGTCAAAGAAACATTAACATATACATCCTTTACTCCTAGTGCTGTGGTATACCCCAGTCTGCACTTCTGTTCACAGAAATGGTAACTTTGAGTAATGTCTAACAGTGGAAGTAAAGTCAGCATATCCTAAGGATATCAATATTGGTACTACTAGTGTTACCGCATGTTAAAGCTTTGGGAAGAAAATCAACGCTCTGTTGAATCTGGCATCTGAACTGAAGCACAGTCAAGGTATTTCAACTACCTATATAACCTCTCATTGAATCTTGCTATGTATACATCTCATAGAATACTCAGCCTTTCACTAAGTAGAAGGAATTACCTCTTTTGGGAACTGTTCAACTGAAAAGAGCAAACTATCACATTTTTGCCATCCTATCCTATTTTCTCGTCTTTATGTTCAAGGAATGACATCTACAAAATTATACCCATCAGCCTTTCTCACTTTTTCTCACATTACTTTTTTTTTCTGCTAATCCCTGAGGGAAGATTGTTGAGAACCAAACACCTCTTGGAAATGGCAGAGCACAATTTAATTCCCACTGATAAGGGTGTTTTCAGTTCAAAGCAATTCAGTTTTTCAGAGAGTTGGACAATGTGGTTGGAGAAATCATTCAATATTAATTCAGGATTCCTGCTTCAAAGTGAAGAATCACATCTTCTCCTGTAAAGTTTTTCAAAATGGAACCTCAGACATGTCTTAATGCTATTTTTCAAATGCTATACCATTCAGTGGTTAAATTACCCAATTCCAGGTATGCATGTATGTACTACATCATGATTTTGAATTAAAAGTCTTGCATGTCCCTACAATACAAGCAAACATTGTGACCAGATGGCTAAATGTTAATTAGCAGTTGCAGAGCTTTGTGTCAAGATCCATTTTAACCTTTGAGATTTTCATGAGTGAGGCAAGAGATAACTGTCAAAGTCTTCCAGGACCCATACATAGTATGTGAAGTACATTAAACTCAAACATTATATATCCCAGGACCTGGGTAGACTGGAAAAGATAAAGCTAAAAAGGAAGCAAGACAACATTGACCTACTTCCTCTTCAGAAGCCAAGGGATATATACTGGACATGAAAGAAGAGGCATCAAGGTCCTAAGATCATAAGGTGAGTCTTCACAGCATAGCTGTACTGTAATTTTGATTTCAGACAGCCAGCAGGCAGATGGTTTTGGGGTTGAGTATGATAGCAATAAATTACGTAAATGGGATTATGGAGAAAGAGGTAAGAGATGATGCATGTCCATATCTATTTCTCTGCATATAAATCCCCAGCTACATGACAGCACTGTGAATGTAAGCTCAAGCCCAGAGGAGCTTCAAATACCTGCAGCTCCAGCTGATGACAAGAGCATAAAGCTGGCTGAGTCCTTGTGCTTTAAAGCCCATCTCAGATCCAAGACTCAAGTTATGGATCCTCAAATGAAACACTGATTCTTAGTATAAATATGCAACATGCCAGAACATTATTCAGGCAAGACTACAAAAAGGCATATATCAGATTCAAGTGTTAGTTTCCAAGAGATGGCAAATATGTTGCTTGGAACAAGAGTCAATCCCTGATCTATAATATAATGATTTTGCATGTGCTGCCTGGAAAACCTAGTGTTCTGCTAGTGTTCAAAAATAAATAACCTTAACAGCCTCAATCTAAGGACATGTTTGAAAGCTTGCTAATATTCACAGAAAGATGTTAAATCTCAGTCTGACACGTTCTGCCATGTATAGTCTGTGGTGAGAATGACGGTCATCAGTAAAGGAGAAGCAATGTGGTAGCCTTCCTTGAACTGGCTTCTACCTAGTAGGTCACCAACCTACTAGCTGGCAGAGTTTCAGCTCATCAGTATCTTTTACCAGGTAGTGTAAAACTGGATTCTGGCTCAAGCAGAGAGTTTGAGAACAAGAACAGATATCTCCATCTTAATAGTTAAAAATAAAAATTAAAGTGTATTATTACATATTTCTTATTCAGCTTTCTTTTTGCTTTCCATGAAGTCTAACATATTTTCTTCCTTCTTTAGCAAACTTTTTGCTGGTGAAAGACAATATTTACTATCAGGCATGAGGGGGGCTCATGATGTGCCCTTGATGCATGAGGAATGCTGAGTCAGACTTCTGTGGATTTTTAGCATGCTGACAAAACTGCAACAACATGTGTCACAATGAACAGAGCTTTGTGCCTAGGCACTTCCAAAGGTTGTTGAAACACCTTTGAATTTAGTCTCAGGAAAGGCTTCCCATGGGCAGATCAGCATTATCATCTCACTGGTTTGGATGTTGAAAGTGAGGCACAGTAGCTCTGATAAGCCCTCCTGCAGGCAGCTATGTGGGAGGGTGTGCCCAGGGTTTTCCCATGATGTTTCACCAGTTGAAGACAGAGTATAATGTAATTCCCTTCCTCTCATGCTCTCACAAAACAAGATTTTTTTCACACCCAATGGAGCTACATGGGAGCCAGTACTATGTGTTTAGGGTCCCCATACCTGCACAGCTCCTGTGCTACCCTCTCAAATGCAGAAACTTTGAACTCTTCACTCCCAAGAAATACGGAATGTGGAGACCTGCATTAGTTAGTCTCAATGCATTCTACCTTTGTGTTGGAACAAATCCAGCTTGTGGTTGTGGGAAGATGAGGCAGTGATGGCTTTGGATGGTAGTACTGGATGGGGTCCAAGGGGGTGCAGATAGCACTACTGAGTTATGTGATTCTTTCATACCCATTCCAGGTGCAACAAAGATCAAAAGAATGATGACTTCTGTAGTGACAATGTATGTAGGGAAAGAAAATTAGTTCTTGGGGAAGCAAGTGTGTTCACATAAAGTCAAGGGAAACTTTTCAAATGAAGTGCCACATTCAGACAGTCCTATTTCAGATATACTGAGAACCCACAGTTCCTGAGAGAGTCACTAGGGACTACTTGCATAAATAGAAACTGAACTCTGGGTCCTGGTTCAGTGAAACTCATGTCTACATACCCAGGCTATGAAATGCGGATAGAAGATCATTCTGAAGCACAAAAAACTTTTTAGAGTCTTAATCAGTGCATCAGTGAATTCTTCCATAGATATTCTACTACTGGAAATCTGTATGTCCACCAAACTCTTTTTCAGTAACATGGTACAGTACAGCACAGTGACAGCTGACAGACATAAACGATTGGGCACACTATGCAATGTTCATCATAATTTGGTGAGTAGCAGGTGAGCAGCTCTAAACTATATTGCAACTGCTTTAGGTATTATGCAGACTTCATGCTTTAAAATTCAAGTTAATCAGTTTTTGAAGTGGCTCATGACAATGCCATCAACCCAAACTTCCATTCCACTTTTGAAAACTGAAATCTACATTCAACAGATTGCAACCACAGGTTCAGACAACCAATGTATTCCTATTGCTTTGAGTTTGTTTCCCAGTTTCTGGATTGTATTTTGTTTTCCTTAACAACTTCTTCATGATTCCAGTGTACCCAAGTCAAATGAGACTTTGCCCAAAGCCCATGTATATGGAAAATCCTGGTTCATAGGAATGATGTTGATAATCTGCATTCATCCCTTCCTCTGCAGCCTGCTGGATTCTTCACACTTTCCTCAAACTCACTCTCTTTCCTGTCTTCTTTCTCTACAATCCTCTGCCTATCTAGTCTCAGGGTACTCTTCCCTGGTATTTTGCCACGATATTCTGTTTAAAGTATATGAGGTTTGCTGTGACTTGAAGGGCTGCTGTATTTGTCTGTGACCTTGGGCCATGGCCAGAAGCAGCTTTCTTGAGCACAGCAGAGGTTTTTTGCTTAGGTGGAAGTGCTGTGGGGCACTGCACCTCGAGTGGCCATGTACCAGATGCAAGACAGTGACAGTAGATTTTGTGACAGTAGCAAAGAAAGAGTGAGCTGGGCCCTCAAAAGCTTCCTTCATTTGAGGAAAAAATAAAAAGAAAGATATAACTGTAATGAAAAGGTGTCAGGTGTAAATAATACTTCTGCCTCGGTCTTTCATTTCAAACACATGTTTTAAGAACTTCTGTACTCTAAAAAACAAGCAATCATTATGCATTGCGGTAGATGCCATACAAATGGTAAAACAGGCTCTCTGCCCCGGGGAGCTTACAGAGACGTGACAAGCTGCTGGAAAAAGCGAGGCAGGGAACTGAATCACAGAGAAAACACTGTTGTCATTTCTCTCTCTTTAAAAATAAAGCAGATAATGTAAGTTGATCTGAGTACCGGTTGTAAAGACAGTGGCGAAGGGTTAGGCAGGCAGCGATGCTACAGAGGAGAGTTCTGCTGAGCTGATTGCAGAGCCCACCCACCGACGGGCATCAGAACGCACTTACCAGATGTGCAGGCAGCTGAGCACCGCGAAGACGATCCCCACAACCAGGGCCAGCGGAATGGCAAGGACCAGGGTCAGGAGCTTGTAGATCAGGTACTTGCTGAGCTCAAAGAGCGCGTGGCTGCAGATCCAGACTTTGTCGAAGGAGTGGGTGAGCTCGGGTTCCGCGATCACGTCCTCGAAGCCCAGCTGGAACCAGAAGCAGTCTGCCGTTACGCGGAGCCGGGGCGAGGGGAGGCCGCCGGGC